ACCAACTCAAGATACACATATTCAGTCTTCAGCTTCCATTTCTCAGGAGCAACTTGTTAATATCGAGCCCATACAGAATGCAGTCAGGCAATCAGGGAGAGTCAGTAAGCCTCCCATCTGGCTCAAGGAGTATGTAACTCAAGGAAAGGGAAAGACAGTGGCAAACACATGCCTTTATCCTATTTCAACGGTGGTCCGCTATGATCATCTGTCCAAGCCTTACCAAAACTTTGTGGCACATGTCTCAAGCATCATTGAGCCCAGATCATATCAGGAGGCTGCCAAAGATAGCAAGTGGATAGAAGCAATGAAAGCTGAGATACAAGCATTAGAAGAAAACAAGACTTGAGAAGTTGTAGCACTACCTAAAAGGAAGAAGGCCATAGGGTGTAAATGGGTATACAAAATTAAGTATAAGGAAAATGGTGGAGTGGAAAGATTTAAAGCAAGGTTAGTGGCCAAGGGCTACAATCAAAATGAGGGAATTGGTTATCAAGAAACATTCTCTCCTAAATGGTCATTGTTAGAGCAGTTGTTTCTTTAGCTGCAGTTGAAGGTTGGACCTTATACCAAATGGATGTTTATAATGCCTTCTTCCAAGGTGATTTACATGAGGAGGTATACATGGACCTTCCTCAAGGTTTCAGTTCTAAGGCCGGCAAACATAAAGTTTGCAGGTTACAAGTACCTCTATGGGCTTAAACAAGCATCCAGGCAATGGAACATCAAGTTGATCTCAACATTGACCGCTTCTGGTTATACACAAAGTCATTTGGACTATTCTTTGCTCACCAAAAAATCAGGCAGCAAGTTGGTAGTGATTCTGGTTTATGTTGATGCTCTCTTAATCACTGGAAATGATCTTGAGCTCATCAATGCCACAAAGGTTGTTCCGCAGAACAATTTCAAAATCAAGGATCTAGGTGAACTCATGTATATATTGGGGATAGAATTTGCCAGCAGTAATGAAGGTATTCTGATGCACCAACGCACCAAAGCAAATATTCTCTGGAATTAATCTTAGACATGGGGTTAGAAGGTGCTCGACCACTTGGTGCGCCAGTGGAGTTGAACCAGAAGCTTACCAGTAGTGAATTTGATGCTCGTGTTGGCTCATCCTCTGATCGACCACTAGAGGATCCTAGCAGCTATCAAAGACATATAGGTAGACTGCTTTACTTGACCATCACTAGGCTAGACATTGCTTTTGCTGTGCAATGTCTGAGCCAATTTATGCATGATCCTAAAGCCTCTCACATGGAAGCAGCAGTCAGGGTAGTGAGGTATGTCAAACAGGTTCCTGGCCTTGGTATCCTTATGTCATCTCACAGCTCTCCTTCACTTCAGGCCTTTTGTGCCTCCTGCCCTAACACCAGAAAATCTTACTGGCTACTTGATCAAATTTGGAGACTCTCTTATCTCTTGGAGGTCCAAGAAGCAGGCAACCATTTCTAGAAGCTCAGCTGAAACTGAATAGAGGAGTCTTGCAACCACTGTTGTAGAGATTGTTTGGCTCATAGGTCTATACAAAGAATTGGGAGTTTCCTTACATCTGCCTATTCCAATGCACAGTGACAGCAAGTCTGCCATACAGATTGCTGCTAATCTTGTGTTCCACGAGTGGACTAAGCATATAGACATTGATTGTCACTTCATTCGGGAAAAGATTCATCAAGGCCTGGTGGACACGCTCTATGTGCCATTATCAGAACAACAAGCTGACATCTTGACTAAGGGCCTTCCTATTGCTCAACACTCTTATCTTCTATCCAAGCTAGGAATGAAGAATATCTTCATCTCTCCTCGCTTGAGGAGGATGTAAGGAACTAGATAGATGCACTACAGTGCACTGATGCTGAGCTGGACACTAGCTGGGGACAACTGTACATTGTAGTTAGTTAGTTGATTAATTTAGTCGGTTAATTAGTTTTATATATTGCTAGCTACAATATATATTTAGGTAGAGCTTCATTTTCTGTAATTGCATGTTGATCAGATTATTCTAGAAGCTATCGATTTCTCCTTGCTCTGTCTTCATTTTTCTTCTGCTCCTAATCTCTTCGATCATGGCTAGGAATGGCAAAAGGGCGGGTCGGGTATGGTTCGGGGCGAAAATGGATAGTGAAAAAATGAATAAATTATCCAACCCAACTCATATTTTATACGGATTAAAAACGGGTTAACCGACGGATAATATGGGTAACCATATTATCCATGACTTCTTGAATATGATCACTTTTGGGAGAATTCCTAGTCTCCCAAACTTGCGGAACCTCCAATTTGAAGCTTTACAAATGTAAAAGTTAAACTCATTGGTTATCCATTGGCTACCCATTGGTTAACCATTTTCTAAATGGATAATATGGTGCTTATCCATATTTGACCCGTTTTTAAAAAAGTTCATTATCCAGTCAATTTTTTAGTGGATAATATGGGTGGTTAACTATTTTCTTTTAACCATTTTGCCACCACTAATCATGGTTGATAATCAGCCAACTTAACAAAAAGCAGCAATGCAGTTAGATCTATTCCATAACCGATACAATCATGCTATATATCCTTTAATAAAATATGGACCATAATTGGACAGAACTTAGATGGTTGTCTGCGCATATAATGTTTAGACATTCCAATTAACCATGTCTGCGTCAATAACCCCAGCACATTTAGTGTTGAGTTCTGAACTCACGGTTGAAATCAATTAGGGGAAAGATGCTATAGTATAGACTATAAGATATCGTTTAGTTCCTGACTCTTGCTTTAGTAAGATTCAAGAGACATATAACTCAGTATGCTGATTCTCTCAGACTTGTTTCCCTATTCCCTCAGTGTGTAAAATAACAGCAAGGGGGAAAAAAAGAGAAAATTAAGTATGTGTTACTGGTCCCAGTACTCTATTCAACACAGTTCACTGCACGATGATATCAAAGTTCAAGGTTCTAGAGGTGACGGGTCCAAATGCAAGGCTTAAACAAATCAGCAGATAGTTTTATTTTTGTAAAAGATCTAAGAAGCTTTGCCAAAGGTTGTTTCCAGTTAGTTGAATCTTGAAAGCCAAGATTTTTGGGTAGAAAATTGGAATATTCCACGACCAAGTAGTCAACCTTTTACAAAAATTCTGTGGCAAAATCACATCTACATACCCAAGACAGCTTTTTCTTCTAAAACCTAATTCCCCAATTAACCAACCTCCTTCCCCTCAATTGCAAATGTAGAGCAATCATCGACACAATGGTAGCATCAGAGTACTTGACAATCAATATTCAGATACTGATGGTTCCTTGAGAGAGCATTCCTGTATTATTGAAGTCTACTAACAAGCAACAGGCAAAACATACACTGCGACATAAAAGGAACAGACATACCCAGTGAATGCCCGTTCTGTACCCTTTTGCCGTGTAATGTAAAATTGTTCATTTGTTAGCTGCTTCCTCCACTCCTCATCGCTTACAGAGCTATAACCTACTTTGCTGGCCCCTGCATAATGATGTGCATTTTATGTATCATGGTAAGATGATTCTCACTTCTGAAAGCCACGTGCTTTAACTATTTCAACAACATCATACAAGATGCTTAGACAAAGATGCCTCACAAAGCTTATTTTATGCCAAACCATTTTGAGACTACTTCACAAAAGTCAAATATCCTAAGCATTCCATTAATCTTATCCAAGTAACATCGAGTTTTTCTAGTTAAAACGGCATATACCAACTGCTATTACCCAGTAAAACTTCAATTTCCAATTTAACTTGGTACAAATTCTGCAAAATGACATCAGAATCTAAAAGAAATAATAACAGGCTTAGAACGAAAGAACCAAAGACTGAACCTTTCAAGTTCTTCTGAACCTTTCAAGTTTTTCATATTCTAACTTTTGCTTCCATGGCAAATCATTTCTAAATACAACCTCGATTCCATATATAGCTCCCCATACAAATAGGAAAAATGGGACATCCTATCACTATTCATCATAATCAAAAGTAAATTCCAATTTGCCTAAGCTATTAATTCTATCCTACGCTTTAAAATACTTAGTAAAATAGAGTCCCTTCACTATCTTCCGCATGAACTAGCCATAATATGATCAAAATGAAACAATGATTTTAACTTTTTACAAATTATAAATAAAGAGAGAGAGAGAGAGAGAGAGAGAGAGAGAGAGAGAGAGAGAGAGACCTTGAGCACTGTCTGGTTTTTGAGAAGAAGCTGAGGAGCCCATCGCACGAATTGAGACAGAAATTCTGCTTCTGGGTCTGTTTAGCGCTCCAAAAGTTACGCAAGACAATGGCTTGCTAGTAATTTGGGATTTTGATGAAAAATTCACAGCTGAGCTCAATGAGCTTGGTATGGTCCGAGAAGCCATGGACATGTACCAAATTAAACTGATTCTTGAAAAGGAAGAAAAATGCTGGCAATTTCTAGTATTCACAAAGGATATATTCCAATGCTCCTCACGCCCATGGACAGATTATGATTTCATCATCTTAAGCCGTTGAAGTATTGAATATCATATTCTTTCCACCTTAGATTTACCTGGATGTTTTCTTTTGTATCTCCCATCCCATCCTTTGATTAATCTGGAATTGACCAGTGTAACGTCTATTAACGGAGGAATGGCTCCTTATCTTGTGCAATCACCTAATTAAAAAGTTTAAATCATTTATTAAATTGATCTATTTATTATTTTTGCAACATTTCTTGTTGACTAACTAGTAACTTTAGATCTGCCTCTGATCTGCAATCAGACTGGTAATGACTAGGTTTTGATCGTGAACTCGAGTGTAGCTGAATATGCCTTGTATTGACTAGTGGTGCTAGCCAAAATAGAGGTTTATCTCTAGCCACGTTAACTGAAAGTTCCAATGAGCTTTACTCAAGTATTAGACGGACTGGGCCGAAAGCTTTTGTGTGGAACAGTGAGCCCATCAACAGAGACCGTAGCATCCACGATTCTTAGAGAGCGTGATTTTATCAGAATAAAATAAAATATTATTTGTCACATGTGGCGTCTCCGTCAATAACAAAAACCTGAACAGAAGAATGACTCAAACACTACACGAGAGACACAGTGAAGAAGAAGAAGAAAAAGATATGAGGGGTCTAACAACACCTTTACAATCAAAGCATTGGCACCCAACAGCCCAAAACAACCTCAAAAAATCAGAAAGCAACAATCTTTACAATTACCCTTTTCAGTGTAATGTCAACAATAACAACAACCCCTTATCAAGAAAAGTAAAACCCATATCTTGTTTTGCTTCAGAAAACCCAAATCAACCAATCTTGAAAGAATCAAAGCCACCCCTAGTAGTAGTTGGATCAGCCAATGCAGACATATATGTGGAAATTGAAAGATTACCAAAAGAAGGGGAAACAATCTCAGCCAAAACTGGTCAAACATTGGCAGGTGGAAAAGGTGCAAATCAAGCTGTTTGTGGTGGGAAGCTTTCATACCCAACTTTCTTTATTGGTCAAGTTGGTGAAGATGCACATGGGAAGTTGATTACTGAAGCATTAGAGAATGGTGGGGTGTATTTGGATTACCTCACTACTGTTTCTAATGCTCCTACTGGACATGCTGTTGTGATGCTTCAGTCCGATGGCCAGAATTCAATTATTATTGTTGGTGGTGCCAACATGTCTTGTTGGCCCGAAAATTTATCTGATGAGGATTTGGAGATTGTGAGGAATGCAGGGATTGTATTGCTCCAAAGGGAAATCCCAGATTTTGTTAATATTCAAGTTGCAAAGGTTTGAGCTTTGGATTTATTTATGATTTCTCTAAAGCAAAATATAATTAGTCTGTGGACTCTTAAACTAGGGGTTGATTTAAGTTTCTTCACTATTTCTTAATCTTTATGTTTTTTTATGAAATTGAGGCTATCCTTGATGAATTATTATGTCTGTAAGTAAAGAAAGGTAGATTATAACAATGTGTTTTAGTTGCATCCAAGCTGCAAAGGTGTGACTTTTGGATTTACTTTTGATTTCACTAAGGCTTGATTCGTTTAGGCGAAATTTGATTAGTGTGTGGACTGTCAAACTAATGTTCAATTTATATTTCTTCACTATTTCTCTTAAGCTATCCTAATTTTTATGTTATTTTGCTGAAATGGAGGTTCTCCTTTTGAGGAAATATTATCTCATTTAAGTAAAGAAAGATAGATCATAATAATGTGTTTCCTCACTTACCTTTTTCTTGTCGTAAATTAGAATTCGCCTTGGAGACAAAAAGATCAAGTAGGTGGGATATCCTTACTAATGGTTCCTTTGATGAACTAGGGGACACTGTCAGATTATCAATTTTAATTGTGATTATCATGTATTGAGAAGGGAATGATATATCGTTCTAGTAAATGAAAAAAGAGAAGATTTATTCTCATTCATTTTATGACTCTTTTTTCATTTTGGGACATACTAAAGTACTATTCCATTGATGTATTATTTAATACAACCTTCAAGAGTTCAAATTTATCTAGCTATTCAAATTAATCTCTAATATGGTATTTTCTTTATGAAACTAACTCTTCAAACGTGATTTTAATATTTCTTCTACTACCAGTAATATAATACACTAGGCAATTACTATCTTGAACTCCACGTCTAGTCAAACATCGTCATATATTGAAACAGATGAAGTATATATATATTTTGTGTGTGTGTGTGTGTGTGTGTCAAGTGTCTTTCATTGATATGCTTCTTTAAACGTCTTGGTATCTTCAGGCTGCCAGGAATGCACATGTTCCAGTTATTCTAGATGCTGGTGGCGTGGATTCTCCAATCCCTCTAGAGCTTCTTCGTTTTGTTGACATTTTGAGCCCAAATGAAACCGAGCTGGCTCGCATAACAAAAATGCCAACAGAAAGTTTCGACCAAATCAGCAAGGCAGTGGAGAAGTGCTATGAAATGGTTTGTTTTAACATGCCTATTTTGTTTTTATTGCCTAAAGTTTGCATCCTAAGTCTTAGGACACGTTATTGCAGCGGTTCACTTTGATTTAGACTTTATCAGTAATCCAAAACAACTTGCTAAGTTAAATTTTCCGAGTCTGTGTTGAGGTGTTATGGTTACCCCCTTATTGATGTTGCAAAATGTAAATGTCCTGTTAGTACTTTTGCTAGGTGAGTCTAATTAGCTGATACATGGCTTTTCTTCTCCTCATAAATATGATGGCCTAGCACTTTGTTGTTTGTGTGCTCCGGTTTGGTGCACTTACACAGCAGGACATTCTGTAAATTTGTGGTTATCTCAGTTTTCATTATGTAGGATGATACTTATATTCTGTTTTGTCTCCCAGGGAGTTAACGAAGTTCTTGTTAAGCTTGGTTCCAATGGATCTGCTCTTTTCACCAAAGGAGAGGAACCCTTGCGGCAGCCCATTATAAAAGCTGCAAAAGTCGTTGATACAACTGGAGCTGGTGACACTTTTACATCTGCTTTTGCAGTGGCCTTGGTTGAGGGGAAATCCAAAAAGGAATGTTTGAGATTTGCGGGTATGTATGCTGCTGCTTTCTCCTAGTTTTTGCTTCTTAGCTACCTATTTGACAAAGCCTTCTGCACTTACAGCTGCAGCAGCTTCTCTATGTGTTCAAGTGAAGGGAGCAATCCCAAGCATGCCTGAGAAGAAAGCAGTTTTCAGTCTTCTCCAGTCAGTTTGAAGACCTAGAGTTTCCTTTATTGATGCCCTTGTACATAAAAATAAGAGGTAGTCTTCAGATTCTCTTTTTCCTGCGTAAAACAACATTAGTGGGAGATCAACTGATTGGAATGTATGAGGATTATATTGATTGGTGCTTTACCCTAATCTAGGAGAAAAAAGAAATGATAAGACGGTTGGAAAAGGCAGTCTCCTGGGGAGGAAGTGAACAAGAGAGGAAATTCAAAAGATAACTTGAACGAAGTTTCACATTGACAATTATGTGAAATGATAATGTTTCTTCACAATGTAGGCATATATTTGGGTGCCCAAATAAGTTGAAACTGAAAATTAGAACTTAGAAGAAAGATGAACAACAAATTAAATCTGAACTTTTCTTAAACTCTTGCATTAATGAAATCTGAAGTTGCCTCATCCGTCATATGTGCCTGTTGTATTTGGTTCACTCAAATCTGCAGTTCTGGGTATTGAGACAGAATTTCTTCGCATTAGTAACACGACTTCTTTTGTTTCTTGAAATGAAGTTTCTCAGGTTAATGAGTTGAAGTTCCGGACTTTTTATTTTCATGAAGAGGTGATCAATTACTATCTTTGTGTCTCATTCACTTTTCCTTTTTCATTTGTTCTTTTCTGTGCTAAACATTTTTCCACTTCTCTTCGCCACCATACTTGTGCATCTGATATAATTCAGGACTGCTATGGATCACTGGTTAACTTTGGGAAGGAGCACTAATCTGCATATTTTGCTGCTGATGCCTAATCTGATACTGCTTTGAAATGCTTATTCTACCTTTTGTAAAAAACAAAAGAAAAGAAAACTATCCTTTTCCATGAGTAACTTCAGGTAGCCGGTTAGCATAGCTGTGTCCTCTGTGCCAGGGAACTAACCAAGCAAAGGGCATAGTGTTTATTACTTGAGAGTTTTCATTACTGATTGACAAATTTGAGTGACGTTTGACTGCTGTTGAGGGTTTAAATGAGCTTCATCTTGTTCCCGACTGATTTTGCTAATATTCTTGTGCTTTCGTTTAATTTTGAGTTTGATTTAATCAGATGGTCCAAATAATATGCTATTCTACCAATAGATTTTCATACCTAAAAGGCTAGAAAAAGGAAAATGTGCCTTCACATCAATCTTAGTGCCTTAGGAATTGTAGGCAAACACAGGCTCATTGTTGTATCTCGGACTTTCAGTTTAAAGATTCTTCAGGGACTTAATTTTGAGCTCCCAATCTGTTTCTAACAAGTTAAAATACATTATTACTAGATGATTATGGAGTAATGGAAATCAATTCCTTAGAGCAAGACTTGGTTATTCCTTCGACAATGTTAGCAGCTTATGGGTTTGATGTTCAAATTTATATGCTTCTGCTACCTGTAAAGGCTTCAAAAAATTAAAGAAACGTTATCATAAGTTTGGCACATTCAGATGGTAATGAGATTTCTTTTCTCGAGAGTGTTTTTTGTGTTCCTTGTACCTAAACTTTGGTGGGTAGAGTTAGTCAATATTTGTACGGAAAAGGGCTAAATATATTCCTCTACTTTCAAATATTGTTTATCTGTACCCTTCGTTATATTATTGGGTTATCCATACCCCTACCATCATACTATTGGGTTATCTATACCCCTATTGTCATACTTTGAAACAAAAATACTCCTATTTTTGGATGGAGTGCCACGTGGCAGCAGCAGATTAAAACGACCCATTTTTTTACCCGACCCGTTTTTAAAAAAAAAAACCACAACTCGACCCCTATTTTCATTTTTTCCAGTTTTTTTTTTTAAATTTCAGTTTTTTAACAAATGAAAATATTATGTTAAAAAACAAAGAATATTTTTTTTTCTGTTTTTACAAATTTGTTTTTCCAGTTTTTACAAAACAAAATTCTTTTAAAAAACTAAAAAAATGAAAAAAAAAATATTTTTCAAAAACGAAAATATTTTGTTGAAAATAATTTTTTCAGTTTTTAAAAAACGAAATTATTTTTTTTTTCTGTTTTTACAAAAAAAAAATTCAATGTATACAAATTTGTTTTTTCAGTTTTTACAAAAAAGAAAATCTTTAAAAAAACTGAAAAAAAAACATTTTTCAAAAACGAAAATATTTTGTTGGAAATATTTTTTTCAAGTTTTTTAAAAAAGAAAATATTTTGTTAAAACTGATTTTTTTCCCCAGTTTTTACAGTTATTACAAAAAAAATTATTTTCTTAAAAAAACGATTTTTTCCAGTTTTTACAATTTGTTTTGCAAAATCTTTTCAGTATCTACTCAATTTAAAAAAACGAAAATATTTTGCAATTTTTTTTTAAGTTTTACAAAAAGAAAATTCTTTAAAAAACTGAAAAATGAAAATATGGTTCGGGTTGTGGGTTTTTGTAAAACGAGTTGGGTAAAAAAAAAATGGGTCATTTTAATCTGGTGCTGCCACGTAGCACTCCATCCAAAATAGGGGTATCTTTGTTAACGAAGGTAACATATAGTTGATGATATAGTACATAAGCTGGCTGCACCTCTTTCATTCATTCTCATGCCCTCTATTCTGATTAGTTCCTTAAATAATCTGAATTTAGGCGAAGTTTTCTCCAATTTAAGGACGCCTAGAGTGAAATCATGGTCTTGAGTTTCAATCTGATTTTGTAATTGAATTGTTTTGATTAGGTCAATTAGCTTTAACCTATATTATCTCCACCAACTCAATCAACTTTGCTGGACGTCAATATCCTTTTTGGGCCATATCAAAATAAGCTTGGTCACAATATGCCACACCAACAAGTTATATCAGCCCAAATATTTTCTTACCTAAATTTTTCTTCCATTTTTTTTTTTTTTTATCTGTGGTAAAGGTGACCTGTACATTCGTCCTTCAAGTCTTAAATTGGAATTGCCAAAGCCTAACTTTACACTCGAAGGTCCGAAGTTCCAATTGCCATTCAAACTTAGGCTTTGGCAGTTTCATCTCAAAGTTTAAATCAGGAGCGACTACATGTTAAATATAATTCATAAATTTTAGCCTTTCTTTAAAGAGATTTTTACATTCCTATGCTATATAGTAAATTATATTACCTTCCATGCTTAACTTTTAATATAATTACCTTTTATATACCTAATTATCATTTATGTACATTTTAGGGGTTTTAATGATATTAATTAGTCTCCTAATTTAATTCTACCGTATATTTCCACTCCCCTCAAGTTTCTCTCTCCAAATCTCACCTCCTCACCCACGTATCAAACCACACCCCACGATTTCCTCTTCAATCATGGGCTAACCAGTTTTCGGATTGGTCATTCAAAAATAGCCAGCGTTTGCCAAGTTATTAAAAAATAGTCATTATTGTGCTGCAACAACGACCGGTCCAGCATAATATACTGGAGTTTGATGCACCTGTGTATAAACTTCCAGCATATTATATTGAATCGGTATACTTTGCTGGCCAAATTATGGAGGGGATAATTTGGTAAACATAAATTTTAGTAAGGATTGTCCTAACAAATACTCCATTATTAAGTTGATGCTTCTATGAGACACTGCAAATTTCTACTTCCTCTTCACATCAAAACATCAAGTACGACTTTTACTATTCAAACGAACTCATTTTTCTCATTAATCAGTAAAATAATATTTTATCCAAATTTCGGTCAAATAAGTTACTAAAAGGTAATTCGTGGATATCTTTTAGGTGCTGATAATGGAAAAAATAATAATTTTGGCCTTTCACGTGGTGTTCGGTATTCATATTGGGACCAACAAAATTCGGATTCGTGTTAGGAAAAGGTAAATCACTCCCTAACAAAGATGGCTACATACTCAGGGCTTGAGCGCAAGACCTGTTAACGATAAAGGATTATTTATCACTCCACTACAAATTTTTATCGGTGATAATTAAAATTATTTATGGTTAATGTATGTCAAGTATGTGAACATCATGCCATCTCTAATCTCTTGATTGAGGACTTCTTTCCGGCTTTAACTCGGTTGACTCCACGTGTAGGTACACTGCGGATTTAGCTTAGAGTTAAATGTACACCTATTGTTTACCAAAAAAAATACTACTAATTGATATAACAATATATCTAACACCTAACCTATAAATTTGTATCATTCTCACCTCTTTAAATTCATGAAGACATTGAGGCAATATGAGATGTACCAAAGCCGCTCAATTGCAGAAAATTAAGTGATAGATTAGCGGTTGCTTCTGTTTTTGCTTGTCGTGTCATTCTATAAAGGGCAAATGCAATGATTTGGCTAATAAAACACAAAGTGAATAACGTGCTCTTTTTTGGTTTGTTATTGGCAACGGTGGAAAAAGGGAAAGAAAGACGCCAAACTTTTGAATTGGAGTTAAAAAACAAGTCCAAAATATCAGTCGTAAAGCCTTGGGAAAGGTCCAATTAACTCACGCAAGGAGGACCTTTTGGTTGGAATATTACGAACAGTTCAGTGGACTCGATAATCAAATCCATAACGGGAAAATTTTGTTGAAAAACTGTGTCCTTTTTTGTTTAAAAAGTGCAAATACAACGGCAGCCTATTTGGAGAAATTCTGTTTTTCCCAGGTAAGACGGGTCAAACGAATACTCCCTTCGAGTTTAATTGGTTTTTTGTGTGGATATTTTTATATATATTAAGAAATTTATCTTTTAATATTAATTAATAATAAAATTAATCAGATTAACTTTAATTTATTCAATTAAAATATAATAAATACTCTTAGGCTTTTTACTTTAGGGCAATTTGGAAAAAAATGAAGTTAATTTCTTTTTGATATTTAAATAATCACATGTGATGGACAACAAAAAAATCGCCAAAAATCAATTAAAATAGACCGGAGAGAGAAATTTTAACTGAATATTAATTTGAAGTGCATTTGAGTAATTACATTGACAGCGTAATAATCTTTTTTACATAATTAGTGTAGTTCAAGACCCTACTTGTAAGATTTTATTGGATATGTTATTGTAGTATAGTGTTATATGTTTTAACAGTTTGCTTACTGTATGAGTCCAAATTTGAACAACCACGACCATCGACGAGTACGACGAATGACGAGGTCCTCGTAACTCGACGTCCTGCGGAGGACGACCTTAAGGCAAACAAGAGATTGTACGATCCTTGTAATAATACAGGCCCATTAAGGGATAATATTCCTTCGAATATTCCTTATAACTTGTTTTTTTATAGCTTAGAAGGGTTTCACTCCTTACAAAGATAGCGAACAACAACTTTGTAAGTGGGCACTTCTGGTCTGATTCATAATACTTGTTATAAATTTACTTACAAAAACGAGTGAGAAGATTTATTGTAAAAGAATAGTTGATCTAGATAGATAAACAAGTCTTGTTATCCTTATTCTCCTTATCCATCTTTCGTTCTAGAGATTATTATATTTAGCTAAGATTTACCCCTTCATTTTCTTTGATTGATTTGTTCAAAAAAGTTTCGATATCTTTTGAGTCAAACAATTTGGCGCCGTCTGTGGGGATTTCTATAGCTGAAATGATAGTTTCATCTAGATTCTTGAAAGAAATAATCACCTCTCTTTAGCTTCACAAAGGCCAACAATGGCAGGGAAGGGAGAAGCAAGGCTAGAGGCAATAGTAGGGGTCACGAACAACCTCCTGAATTCCCTCAACGAAGCCAGTGGAGAAGACAACAAAAACGCAACGCCAAGTGCTACACCTGAGAGAGAGATCTCACCCCCCCTCCCGCACGAGGGTTTAACGGTCTTGCGCGAGAGGGAAACCTCAACATCCGCAGTAGGAGAAGCATCACAGCCCATGAAAAGGCTATTAGAAGAATGGTTGACAAACACCTTGAGAAACATGCTCCAGAAACCCGTTCAAAGAGATATCGAAGACACATTACTCGTAGAAATCGCAGTTGTTGCCGATGAGCCAGACACTACACAAACAGGTAACACCCATACTGTTGTTGATGCAGGCAACGATACACTTACAACCATCTTAAAGAAAATGGAAGAGATGAAAAATGAGAACAAAACACTCCGCGACCAGATGAAGGAACATC